AAATGCAAAGTCTAGATCACTTTTCGTTTCGGAAAATGCTGCTGTATCTTAAGTATGTGGTCATTCGTCAAGGTATCCATTTTTTTTAGTCCCCTACCGGTGAAACCGAAGGGGACTATAGGTTTCCTCTGAGTCTGTCCGTCCGTCTGTCTGTCCGTCTGTCTGTCTGTCCCTCTGTCTGTCTGTCAGTCTGTCCCACTTGGTTTTCCGCACTTTTTCCCTAAACGCCTGCAGATATTGAGCTGATTTTTGGTATATGAGTGTATTTTGATGAGTTACAGATCAAGTTTGAATTTCGTTCCGCTTCATTGATTTTTGACGGAATTACGGCCTTTTCAATTTTTACGGGTTTTCCGCAATTTTCTTCTAAACGCTTGTAGATATTGAGCTGATTTTTGGTATGTGGCTTTACCTTGATTAGTTATAGATCAAGTTCGCATTTCGTCCCGCTTCATTAATTTTTGACAGAAATATGGCATTTTCAATTCTTAACGGGAACCAGATTACATGCACTTGCCGGTAGGGGACTAGTATTGCTAATGCAAAACTCTCAGAATGCTTGTTTCTCTTATATGTGTCTCTTAACTTCTTTCCAAATCCCATGTTATACTAACTCTGGGTAACGTTAAATTCAAATGTATACGGTAATCAACAGGTTGAAATAATAATGTATAGATTTATATGTTTAATTCTGATGTGTATATCATGTGGAAAATACGATAATTTAAAACAACGTACAAAAATGAACACATACTTATAACTATGATTAGGCCTAACACAAAAAAAAATCTGGAACTTGGGGGGCTTGAACCGAAGACCCCAAACACGAAAATAGTTAGGATACACACGCTATTTAGAACGTCTGTGTCTTTTGTGTATATATAGCCCCGTGTGAGCGCACGGCACTTTGAAGTGAAAGTGAAAACAACATACAATCAATCAATCAAATTATGCTCTCAGGGACACAATGGACTAACACAGGAAATCAAAGTTTTACTTGGGAATAAAGATGTTAATCTAATATATCTTATAAAATCTAAATATAGAACAAAACCGTGATAAGTAATATTGAGGTGGAAGCATCTTCGGGTAAAGTAGAATAAATTTTGACCAAATCAGAACCCCCCTGGGTAGAGTCCCTGTACAATTATTATAGGAGTTCTGAGTTTCACAAGTGAATTTGCAACATATTTTCAAGAGAAGAAAGGTCACGCTTAATCACAAAAATATGCCATACTTCCTTTGTTGTTGGGATTCACTACTATGGACACTGCAGATAGGGTACTGCTATAGTCAGAGATCAAATTTTACGTATTGCATTTTACAAAGGGGGGAGTGTTATATAAATCTTTTTCTTAACTACAAGGCAATGTTAGTCATATTAATGCAGTCCCATTTTGTGTTGATTTAAAGTTCGATAAAATAATTATCCCAGGTGAGTTAAGGGACACAACGGGGGGAGGGGGGTTCAACATTTTTCATGTGAATGAAGAGAGAAAGATCTTTAAATATCTTTTGAAAAACAGCAAGACCAAGGTGACTCGTCTGTGGCATATTTGCCTCTTTGTTGTTTTTAATTATACAGCAGTGATTTCCTACCATAAACACCAAACCGGTAGATATGTAAAATAAAGCAATGCTCTTCTTTTTTCTTCCTGGAAAATGTTCTTATGTACTTATTCACACAGTAAGTTTACTGATCGAATGGTGCGATTGTTAGGCCAGAAATGAACTCTAGACCATCAATGTGCTACATAAATGAGCATCATTAACAGACCATAACACGTGTATATGTAATCATGGAGTTGCGGCTATTAAGATTGATTTTGATTTGGATTGTTCCATTACAAGCTACAGCAAGTAAGATTCTGATTGTTCCATTACAAGCTACAGCAAGTAAGATTCTGATTCTTCAATTCACTATCACTAACTGATTGTATATGATTCTAAACACCAAGAAGATGAGGCGTAAAATCATTCTCAATTATCTTTTTCCTAATTCGATTAGGGTAACTGGAGTTCACTTTTTATTCTACAAATGTGGAAATTTCAAGAGATTTGTGAAGCATGTAGTGAAGATTCCGGAAGTCCTACTTTAAGTTATGATAAGCATAGCTCTTTAAGATTCGAGTGGATTTCTGGCTGAGACGTTCACTATCAATGACTTAATTCATGTGCTTTAAATGCTAAACATTAAAAAATATATTTAATCAAAATTAATGTAAACATGATGACTTATATTGTATCAGTATGTTCTTTTCACTTTATCTTATGTTTGTGATAGCTCAATGGTTGAACATTTCCGGCATGGGTCATGAGCTGTCCAGAGCTCGTGTTTTTTTTTTAAATTCTGATTTGACTTGAAAATAAATGCCCGTTCCTTTGTATCACACTTAGCAATTGAAGGTAGTGGGTTTTTTAACAGGTCGGGTACACTACCTTTTATGGAAGGCACTTTTCAACGCGTGACGATGTTTTCGTCAACCCCATTCTCCAATCGATTGAATGAATCGCAAAGAATGGCGGTCAACTACGTGTTTAAGAATCAACATCGACATGTGGTTTTCGTCGGTTTACTGCATAATATTGGTCACCGGAAAAACTGTACAGCTTCTTTTTTACTTTATGAGACTGAAATTGAAAGATTATATTCCATAAACACTGTTCCATACTCACATTTACTATCGGAGTTGTTTTAGATGATTAATATAATTGCTTCAAATACCGTACAAACGCTTTGACGTTTGCATGTACATAAAGAACATTTTGAAGATATTGAGGAGTTAAATAATAATTGCGCACTTTATATTGCTGTCTAAAACTATGCATGTATTTCACGTGAAAAAAAAAACACAATTGTTTATCGACACAATAAAACCTAGACGTCTCTTCGAACAATAGTTTATGCCGATGTTGATACAAGTTGATATAAGGCTTCATAAAGCTTTTGTAAATGTAAGCATAGATTTTGTGATTAAGATTATACATAATTTTCAATATTTCATTCATAAATATCAAAAAAGATATGAAAATGAGTTTCCAAGGGACTACTGGAGTTCGTATTGATACTTGTAGTAGCCCATAATGCATTGCGACTCATTTCAACAGTCGGTAAAGTAAACATATATAGTTAATTTAACATGCAAATTTATGCTGACGTCAGAAAATCTAGTGGTCTCGACCTGTTTAAATAGGTCATTAGAAATAAGCAGCTGACACGACAAAGTATAATTCTTGCTGAAATTAGGTTCAAAGCATTGATCTTTAATAACAATACTCCAAAAAGCAAAATAAACAAACAACCCTTGTTTTAACGGGCCTGGTATAAATGTGTTATTTAACCCTAGAAAAGGTATCATTTATTTAAAAAAAAAAACAACTCTTTATTATTATTTTGTATACCAGTTATCATGAAAATTACTGATAATTTACAATATTAATAAAAAAAATTTATGACATTTTTATGCCCCTTGATCGAAAGATCCCGGGGATATGTTGTTTTTGCCCTATCTGTCTGTTTGTCTGTCTGTCTGTTGTCAACTTTAACCTAGCCAATAACTATTGCACTGTCAAGGGTAAGGCTTTAATATTTGACGTGAGTGTTCATTATGACAAGACCTTTCCATTGGTACAGAAATGTTTGATCATGTGACTTCAACTGTAACCTTTGACCTACATTTGAAAAACGTTAACATTAGCCATATCTATTACACTAGTCTACGTCCCACTCCAGAATTGTGTTACCATCGGGGGCATAGTGTTTCACAAACACTTCTTGTTTCACTTTCCATGCTGCTGTTATTTTCTCTTAATCCATCAAAAAACTAGCTCAGTTGACTTGGCTTCGGACTTGTAGGAATAACAAAGGAACATAAATATATTTTTATAACGTATTTTACTAACAAGACACAATATTCCCTCGATCTTTTTACTGATGTTGCATTTTAACATTGTTTAATAATTTGTTATTTAACATATTTAGATCTAAAGAAGCAGTATATTTATGTACAAAAGGATATGACATGGACTGAAGCACTTGATTTTTGCGAACGGAATAATTCAGTATTGTCTGCCCTCAGCGACAAAGATGTAACGTCTATAGGGGCATGTAACCAAAGCACTGAAGAATTATGGACAAGTTCTTATTTATATGCAACCCCTTATATATCGATACTAGGTGAGACATATATATATCATTCATTAGCTAAATTAGGATCAATTCTTTGACGGCAATGACTTGCATGTATATTTATCATAATTCAAACACTTTGAGATAACAAGTAAAATCATTTGATATTTTTGTTTATCAATTAAAAATTTACAGATACATCTATAATACAATATACATGTACATATTTTTGAAGAAAGAGAAGAAATACATTTGTTTCCCTGGCTGTGATCAATATGGCATTTGATTTTAAACTTTCAGTGAACTTTCTTGATATATCATCATTTATCTTTCAATCATGTTATATTTGATAATTTCTTCAAAGGTTGCTTCAGAAATAAAACAGGTCTGAACTTCTTCAGTCTAATTCAACCCTCGATACTGGATTGTCAAGATCTGTGTTCTTCTTCATCTTCGTTTGCTATTATGGTGAAATATATGAGTTTATTGTAATTTTAATCATAATTAATGAATCAAAAATTTTTCTGAAACACAATTTAATTTTAAAGATTTTTTTCTTATACAAGAGGAAAGGCTAACATTTTTCTTCTTATTGTAGGATAAGAAATGTGCTTGTTTAAATGATATCTACAGTTTTTTGGAGACGGAAGATGCCAAGTTATGTAACATTCCATGTGAGGGTACATTCTTCTGTGGAGGAAAAGGCACCATGAATGTGTACTCTGTCGGTAAAGTACTTTTCCTGTATTGACATTCATTTTTTTTATATCCTTCAAACATTAATTCTTAATACTTTTTAAAAACCTTTTATGAAATGAAATGTCATCATTTTGACCATTGCAGTTGAAGATTTTTTCAACAGAAGACAACACCTAACAAACCCAGACTTTACATCTTGCGTGTCATACCAGTGCTTAAATAACGAATATCTTTACAAAGATGTGGACTGTAGCTCTGAAAATGTTACAGAAGCAGCTTGTAGTAAGTACAGTATATATGTACGTACTGTTTTCAAAATTAAGTCAATGTTCCATTCTTAAGTTCATTTCAATCTTTAATTTTCTTACAGGTACTTTTTTTTCTTGCACATTTGAACTTGGAGATCCATGTTTTCTCTTTCAAGTGAAAAATGATGACCTTGATTGGACAATAACTAACGTATGTATAGATATTCATTATTTTACCCCTTTCCTGAAACTTATTCCTTTTTAGGTAGTTGCATAAAATAAACCAATTAAATAACTAAAAGTAATATTTTAAAATGATTCTTGAAAAAAAGTTAAATAAAATCGTTAAAAAGCTGTCACTTTAAGATAACTCCTTCTCTATCTTGATAGATGACAACACATGTTTTAGAAAAATATATAAAAATGCCTTTTCATAAATCATGCAAGCACAACTCATAATAATGATAAAAAGTAATTGTCAGTGATCATTTCAGATCAGCACAACCATTGGACCACAGAAAGCTTATCAAGGATCATATTTTGCCTTTGTTAACGACAGCAGTGACTACTATAAGCAAGGAAATCGAGCAATTCTTAGGTCAAATATAAACATTCCTGGTACGTATTAAAGTAGTTGCTTCCTGGACCCATATGAATCACGTTTTAAGGATATAACCTTAATGCGGAATCAATAGAAATTCATTTTTATCATTGACTTAGAAAATACATCTATAGAAAATGTGAACTACCAGTAGTTTCCCTTTCAATAAACTTATACATAATAGACGCCTTTATTGCACAAACAAAGTATAGCATTTAACGTTATTTATGAAATCCCAAAAGATTTTATAAAGGGTTTCTAATCACGGCTCATAACGACATCAAAACAGATATTTGATTGATGTTCTGGAACGTTTATGCGCCATAAAAAAAGTCCTGGAAAATGTTTAACCTTTGCTTTCAAAGTAAAAAAAATCTGGTCTTAGATTACCGGCTTTTTTCAAACGAAAAGAGTTGCAATACGAATTATTGAAATTAGGTTTAATTTACTGGTGATAGACACCTCAAAATTAATCGAATGCTAGCTAGCAGAACATCATAGGGCAAGACATTATGGTATTCAAACTCCCAAATTCCCAGGTCTTGTACATTCATAGACTTACAATTAGTAAAACCGTTTGACCATCCAGTCAGTAATATTAGTATTAGAATAAATTTCTTTGCTGAAGTTAAGGTTAAGAGGCTCCATGACATTGCATTTTATTTTGGCTATTTTTTCTTCATTTGAATAAATAAGTATTTTCAGTGCTTTTAATTTTATAATCGATTATTTAGTAAAATGCATTGTAAATGTTATTTAAATCATTTTCAATGCACAGTTGACATTTTAAAAAAATACTTATATTGCGAGGATGCATAGTACGGATTCAAGTGATATGCAGCATTTTCAATATGCAGATATTCTATAGTGAAATAGTTAAAAATGAAACCTTTTGCACATAGCGAGATAAAACGACATTTTGTACAGACGTCACTGGCATCTTATCGAAATAATCGAAATCAGAATGTCATTACTTTGACAACTAATGGGTATACTATTCCCTCTAAACACGTTTTGAGTTAAGAGGCATGAAACCTTGGAATTTTTGCTTCCTTAAGCCACATAAAGTTGAATATGTAATCCTTTCATTGCCTTTATTGCTTAAAAATATTTTGTGGTTCGTCATCAACATTCTTGTATTCAGTTTTCGGCAAAAATTCTGTTTACAGACTTCAAAGACAGTGACTGGTGTCTACGGTTTTGGATCTATATTCACAGTACTAGTGGCGGAGGACGTTTACAAGTTTACACCAACAACTCTGGTGACATATCATTCATTAAACTATTTTCCACCAGACAATACACAGAATGGAATTATTTCGAGGTTGATATCCAGGTTCATGAAAACGATACAGTAAGTCTCCTGGTCGTACTTCGCACGCTTTGATCGAGAAAAAAAACTTTTCATAAGGCAGAACATGCAGTGTTTAAAATAGTTACCATTACTAAAGCCAATGTCAAAGGATATTGATTGATATCATATTTATCAAACAAATTGGATATGATTATACTTAGAGATGAAAGGTTTCAATAGAGAAATGTTATATATGTAATTAACCATATTGATATAAGGGATGAACCTTTCATTTTAACTGCCTATTGTTAGATGTTTTTTACTAGAATTAACACTTAAACTGGACAAGCATTGTTATTAGTTCACTATTGTTATTACCCAAGCTGACCCAACTTAAGTACACCCGTGTTTTATTGCTTATTCATTTTTTGTTGTAAATCAAAGAAAGTTGTGATTTATAGAATACACATCAAAAAGGAACATTTGATAAAACAAAAATTCACTTTTATATATATTTTAAGATGTACAGGGAAAACAAAATGTTGTGTAGCATACAATCATGTTAATTGAAACAGAAAGTTAAACCTTAAAATAACACTGTAGTAATTTTCCTCAATATACATGTATACATGTATATCTAGCCACACAAGGCGAATTGCTAAGCTGCTTAAGTATTTTGAAATGACCATTGAATATAGCTAGTATGAGAGGATTCGCTCTACATTGTCAATGGAACTGATTATAAACATTTCTGAAGACAGTAGAAAAAGATGTAGCTATATATAGCCTATAATTCTTATAATAATCTGTGCTTATACATGTAAGCAAATTTGCACACTGAAAAATATTTTGTGAATATCATCAAAAACCATGATTTTATGCACTTCTTTTTTAATCATTGTAATCATAAGGTAATGAAAAAGTAATCATGATAACAAGCCTTTTTTCCAGAGTAATCGATTAAATTAAGATTACATGTAATCAGACAAAAAGGAAGATCACTGATTACTCATAATTACACCGCAAACTGTAATTGATTACAGCTGATTACAATTACTGATTACGATTATCCCATCCCTGATATAGATACCCGGTCTAACTAGTTAAAGATTGATCGATTGATTGCAATCAGTTTTCATAAGAATTAAAAGAAAACATATTCAGTTTATATTCATAGTCACCATTTTATATGCATAATTAAAAATAATTACCAAATCTTTTCAGATTTTCTTTGAGTCAATTCGAGGAGCCAAAGGATCACATTTTGCAGTGGATGAGATTACGCTTATTAAAGGAAAATGCAGTAGGATTTTTGAATTATTAATTTCACATCTGCTGGTATTATAATTTACAAACTGTTCATAATTATGAAAGGATGCCAACAGCAGACACCTGTAAGCTACAAAAAGAAAAAAACGAAAAGAAATACAAACTGAACAAAGGGACAGAAGAGAAAAGAAACAAGAAAGACTTAGAAAAAAAGAAAATTTTAAAGGAAACAAGATGCATACAATTTTTTTTATACCCCAGCTTGAAAAGCGGGGGGGGGGGGGGGATGTATAGTGATGGGGGTGTGCGTTCTTTCGTCCGTCCGTTACGCTTTGGGATACCCATCTCTCCTAAAACCACTTAATCGTTCTTACATAGTGCCATTGTGACCTCCTATTTTACTTTTTGATTGGACATGCACTCAGGTTTCCCATAGAAAAAACATAGACACTGCCATTCTTTCTGTAATACTGAAGGTACCCATCTCTTATCCGCAACTCCTCCTATACCACTGAATAAAATTTAATGATGATCTTAATTACATAGTACCATTGTGACCTCCTAGTTTACTTTTTGATCAGCCACATATTTCGGGTTTCTCACAGAAAAACATGGACTCTGTCATCTGTTTAAAAAATCAGAGTACTCCTTTCTTATCAGCAACTCCTACACGACTGAATAAAATTAAATGATACTTTAACAGAATTTTCAGGTCATTTGAGTCACTCAGGTGACCTATTGCTATCTGTTTTTGTCCGTCGTCGTTTGTCATGCGTTAACATTTGAACATTTTCAGCTTCTTCTCTGAATCCAAATTTCAACCAATTCTGGCATATAGCATCTATGGGAAAATGGGGAAAAAATTGTTAATTTCAGTGTCCCTGCCCCACTAGGGCCTGAGGGGTGGGGCTAAAACCACCAAAAGTAATGCAATCCTTAGAAAACTTCTTTACACCTAGACATCAAGCAGTCAAACTGTTGGCATAATTGTAATAAGCATTGAGCCCTTTTCCAAAATTGTTAAATTCCTGCCCCAGCGTCATTGGTTCTGATGATAGGGCGGGGCTATATAGATCATATGGTGATAGTGCATTGTTTCTTTTAAAGTCTTCTCTGCTCCTGGGTATTAAGCCGATCTGATCCTAGATATTAAGCCAATGAACTAAGTCGATAAGCCGAACTAAGCCAATAAACGAACTCACTAAGTACATACTAGTTATGATGAGCATGGGCGCCTCTTTCAAAATTGTGAATTTCATGGCCCTTGAGTCAAAGGTTCTAGTGTTAGGGTGGGGCTCGATTGATCATATTCATGTAGTGAAAATACATTAATTCTCTGAAAATCTTTCCCTCTGCTTCTAGTAATATGGGAAAAAGATTCTGTCCGGCTCACAACTAGAAAATTATTAGACCAAGAATCATCAAACTTGGCCAATTAATGCATCTTAGGTAGAGGGTGTGTCTCACTATACTTCAAGGTCACTGTGACCTTTAATTAAAGTGAAATTTAAAAAAAAAACTATGTCTTTTAACTTTTAAATTACACTATCCAAAAAAAAAAAAATGTAAGAATATTGCAGTATCCATATTAAAGCAATATCAAATCAAGAAAATACTCATTTTTTCATTATATATTTTGCAGCAATCTATAAGAAATGTTAATGTTATCCATCTCTCCCGGGGTGTATTTATCAAGCAATGGTCAAGGAGAATTTTGATAACAGAAAATTGCATGTCAATTTAGAGAGAAATTAATGAGTTTAGTGTGAGAAGATGTCAAAACAAGCATATATTATCTTTATCTCTTGGGAATTGGGCAAGGGGTTGCTTGTGCTGAATTAAATAGTTTTTGTTGGCTAGCTTAACTTTCAAAATAAATTTGGTGTAAAGTAATTAAAACTAATTTGATATTGTACAATATAATTAAAACTAATAAAACTAAATTGATATTGTGTAATATAATTAAAACTAATTATGCACTGGGGGGGGGGGGGGATATTGGAATCAGCTTAAAACCAGTCAATTTAAAAATCTCAAAAAATCACTAAGTATTAAAAAATGCTTTATGGTAGATAGTCCCTGCAGAGTCATGCAGTAGCCTTATTAAAAATGGTGCATCAAGATTACACAATTTTTTTTTTTCATTTTATAAATCTTTGTAACATATTAAAAAAAAACTTTGTTGTCGACAGAATGACTTAAATATGCATTTTATTGTACTACAGAGTACAAAGCAGATCATCCATTTGGAGTAATGAGTGGACATGCATCCAGTTAAAGTTTAATTTAATAAGTTCAATGTAGGAATGTTAGCTGTCTCAATCATTTCTGTAGCGCATCTCTGATCAAGCAGGTCTTATCTATATCTCTTGGGAATTGGGTAAAGGAATCAGCCTCCTAATTGCTTGTGTTGGATTAAATAGTTCTTGCATGTTGGCTAGCATAACTTTCAAAATAAATTAAAATAAATTTGATGTAAAGTAATTAAAACCATCGTACCGGTAATTTGATAATGTATAATATAATTAAAACTAATATGATATTGTATAATATATATATATATATATATATATATATATATATATATATATATATATATATATATATATATATATATATATATATATATATATATATATATATATATATATTTTAATATCTGTACAATAAATTGCAGAGTGTCATGTTTCACTAAGATGACAATTTTATAGTCTAAAGAATAAACGTATGTTTTGATGTTTTATTCAGCTATATAGCATTGATAATCAGTCATAAAATATACAATAAACAAAGCTGCAGATGGGCTTTTGTTAAGATCTAACACAACCAGCTCAGGAATATATGATGTATTATTTGCTATAATTAATGCCTACACCACAGGAGATGTATTTACATCAAACATTATAAGGAATAGAAAAATCATTGAAATCTTTGTATCAGGAACTGTTTATGATAGTTGAACAATATTTGACGAGCGTGTCATGCTGTGGCGGGGCACTTTATTTATTTATAAATTATTTTTTTTGCAAAGGTTGGGATGTGTTCAGTCGTTTATTAATGATCTTTTGGCGATTGAAATATAAGAATAACCCCGTCCCGGAACATCCGCTCTGGTTGCGACGCCAAAGCACGTTCACAATTTTTGACGTCGCCTGCGTGGCGCAGTGGTTAGAGCGTCTGCTCTAGAGTCGCGGAGTAAGAAGTTGATCCTTACGTCGCGGGTTCGAATCCCACTGTGGGACGTGGAGACCGGTCCTTCGGATGAGACCGTATAAACCGAGGTCCCGTGTCGCAGTAGGTGCTGGCACGAAAAAGATCCCTCACTGCTCAATGGCCGTAAGTGCCGAGTATAGGACAAAATTTGCAGCTCTCCACCGGCAGGTGGTGGCGTCTCCATATGAGTGAAAAATTCTCGAGAGGGACAACATACAAACAAACAAAAACAAAAACATTTTTTGACATTCGGATATATTTGAATGTGACAGTTTGTATCATTATAACAAATACAGCAATATCAAAGTAAGATATATACATGACAGGGCTCTCGGTTTCTAAGAATTAAAACGAAGTCCATTTTTCCTCTTGACATTCCACTTAAATGAGTCGGGCAAATTACTCTTTTCTTCATATAGAAAAAATAATTCGTATATAATGAATTATATAAAAGTTGCCCACGGTCACCCCATTAATTGTAAAATCAGAGTCCTGGATCTGCAACTATTTTTTAATGCTGATATCCCATTCTCTCTGACCACCAAATGACAATGATGAATTCGTGATAAAGGGAGAGTTTATTTTCGAGGATCTGCATTGCACATAATTTGTTATGCTGTGTTGGACTGTGATATAGAACAGGAGTGGCACAGATCTAGAGCAGATACAATTTTACATAGGCTTTTAACAGGATATTTAAGATTTTATAAACCAATAAAAGATAGAATAACATACAAGTTTGTAAACAATGCAGCAATGGGACTTGTTTATCATAAATAGAGGCACTCAAATGGCTGACATTTTATACGTGTGTCACTGTAATTTTAGCTTTTATTTGTTATCAATAATTTGAACGTGAAATCTGAAACATATTTTATCTTGTTTTAGGAGACACATATTCAAGTGTTTTATACATGACAGGGGAAGTCAAATGTAATTTTGAAGGAAACAAAGATATTTGTTTTGATCAAGACAAGGGTGACAATTTTGACTGGATGATTGCAAGGGTATGATTTTTTAATAAGTTTAGAAAAAGCTTAGAGATTTCTTAAGATAAATTTCAAAAGCAAAAAATGTACTAGTATTCAATTTTTTGTTTAGTTTTATGTTGAGAATCAGTATTAATTGACTTTGAAAATTAATAGTTTTATCGTTATCAAATTATCGATTTTAACAATCAAAATGTTGCAATAAATACATGTATATTCGATGCAATTGTAGCTGCTTAGTGTGCATTTTTCAGTTTGAGAAATTAGCAGCTCTGCAATCACAATTGAAGATGTTTAAAGCCGTATTTGTCTATATGTCCGTCTGTACGTCTTTAAGATATTTCATTAAAATTGTGAGCGGATTTATATGAAAATTAAGCGGAACGAAATACTTCTAAAAATACAATCGATTATATACTAGTATATAATTAGATTTTGATACAACAAAAGATAAGGAACATTTTCCTTAAGCGGATTTTGTTTAATGCTTTTCAAATTCAACACTTTCAAAGTGTGCAATTGGCAAGAGAGAATAAATTTTCAGAAGCATATGATGAAAGATACAGGTGCAAGAATTTTCGTTTTAATTTTACTTTTTTCTGTCCTCTTTCAATAACATGTATTATTATAATTATCATTATCACTCTCGTCGTCGTCATAGTAAGAATTGTTTTGTGCCATTAATTCAAAACAAATAAACATAGTGTTTGTATACTTTTTCGTACAGAATGGGCAAAAGATCGGAAACCAAAGAACCGGACCAAACGGTAGTATAGAGGGAAAGTATTTCAGCTATATCGATACAAGTGACAACAGAAGAGGAAAAGGTTTTAAAGCTGTACTTATTTCCAAATTTTACCTAAAAGGTATAATTTATTTTGTTGATATTTTTTAAAAAAATCAATAAATATGTAAAACAAATGAATACTCATTTTATGAACATTAAAGTAGGAATTCACTTCATCTTTGCAACTTGTGAAATGTGTACATAGATAATATTCTGAGAAAAGTTTTTTTTTTCCCTATGCAAAGATTTAAATATCTCATCTTTAAATTTCAAACAATCATCAAATTCAAAAACTTGCTTAAATAATTAATGTTTTATATTTCATATGCACAGTTAAAATAAAATAGATCTTTCTAGTCTACTTCTTCTCTGTTTGTCAATTATAATCTATCTCTCTCAGACGTTATCATACACTGATCTCCCATCTTTTTCTTTATTACGTAAATCGAGTAGACTTTTGAATAAAGAAACAGTAAGCTTGGATGTAGCAATTTTAAATACATGTATTATTCCATATGGTAATTATTATTATGATGCTGGTGCAGTAAAATTCCAATTTCAGCCTAGGTTTCTTTTTCTTTATTGCAGAAAATAAATACTTTTAATGTTTAACGTATAAAGGCTACAATTGAATGTAAATTTATTTTCTAAACAGAAAAAAGTTAATACTAATCCTCCAAACTGATATTCCTAGACTAAAGTAATGAAACTGTTTTTTCATTGTTTAAATCAAACGTGGGTCGAAGTGCTTTATAGCTGTATCGGAATTTATATAAAAATCCGGCCATGGAAAAAAGGAAGGGAAACAGTCATGGCCATTAAGATTTTTGCTAAAAACCCATCAGAAGTAATTAAGAAATGTATTTCATATTTGAACAATTGTGAATGTATGACCTGACACGTTTCACCCAGGCATATAGCTTTATTACGAGCCATCTGACTGCAATGTTTCCTCTTGTCTGTTGTAGAGTATGGAGATCTTAACTTAAAGATATATTCAATAAAATCTGGAACAAAAATCTTATCTGAATATTCTATATAAGCTTTAAAAGAAATTCTTTAATTTTTTTTTCAGACAGACTAGTTCTCTATCGACATGTTAATTATTTAATAAAGTTGTATATATTCTGCTATAGCTCACAATTTTTTTCACAAATAATACCTACAATTCTCTCTTTTTTCTTTCTTTCTTTCTTTTCTTTTTTTTTCTTTTTTTTTTTTAGCAATTTATATAAATTTATCACCGTAACCAGGAAAATTATAACTTCTTTGTGCATTTCTAATTTTAAATATTAATAATATAAATATTTCATAATGATGATAATGAATAATAATAATATAATCATTTTGGTTTCATGCATATTTTTTACTTTTCAGATGTAAATATAACTTTCAGTATGCAGTACCATATGTATGGTGAACACATTAACACACTTAGGGTTTATTTAAAAAATGGAACAAGGGAGTTGGAAATTTTCAGGAAAACTGGAAAGCAAGGAGAGGATTGGAAACAGTTCACAAATACAACAAAAATAGAAGGAACCTGGAAGGTAATGTATTATGTTTTAGTATACAATATTAAAGGTTATTACAAAAGTTTGTTATGTCTTAAAAATAATAATTTCCAATACAAGTTACATACAATGATTTGAACAGTTTTGGTACTTAAGAAACCTGAATAATCTACTTCACCAATCAACTTGATTATATCTTACGTTCTTTCCATGTGGCAAGAACACGTATTCACAAAAACAGTACAAAAGAGCATAAAATAGTAACGATATTTATACCCCCTGCTTGAAAAATGGTGGAATAAAGTGATGGGGTGCCTGTCCCTCCTTCCGTTGCATTTAGGAAAGCCATCCCTTATCAGCAAATCCTCTTACATCACTGAATCCAAGTGAATGAATCTTTCACAAAATCTTTATTACACAGTGCCATTTTGCACATAATATTTTCTGTTTTTTATCTTTGAGATTTCCTTTTGCAGAACATGGGCAATGTATTATCAATTAACAAATGTTACTTCCATTCATATGTCGACTCAGTATGTTCCAATGAGCTTGAGATAAAAGGTACCCCAGAGTCTGACGCATCTGTTTCATATTTGGCTATTTTACTAGAAAAAGACTTTAATGGAAATCTAACAACAAAGCTCTATGATAAACGTGATGACTTCAATTTTTCAATCGTCAATTTTCCTTACTTACGTAGCAATATATCCTTATCACCTGCATATGGGGTTTTTGTCTCCCAGTTGATTCGATACGCAAGAGCATGCTCGACGTATAAACAATTACTTAAACAAGACAAGCTATTGCAAACAAGTTGATGAAACAAGGATATCAACAATTTCGTTTAAAGTCATCATTCCGCAAGTCTTATGGTCGATACAATGACCTTGTCAGCAAATACAACCTATCATTAAGTCAAATGCTGACTGACGTTTTTCGTACTAATTGTTAGGCCATTATTTACACACTGAATTGTCTACGGATTTTTCTTTTTTTTCCCGATCATGACAAGGAGCACACGGCCGGTGTGTCCGGTCGGCAGGGGATGTACACTCCTCTATGGCAACCTCATCCCACCTCTGAGGTTTTTGGGGGTCCGTGTTTGCTCTGCTCCCGATTTGTATTATCAAATGGAATTTGAGCTTGAAAATTGTTCGTTATCTCCATATTTCATTCTATACTTAACATTTGGGTACTCATCTCTTATCGGCAACTTCTCCTATGCCACTGATGAAAACATAATAAGATTTTCACCGAATCTTAATTACATAGTGCCATTATGACCTCCTATTTTACTTTTTCTTTGGACATATATTTGGGGTTTCCCAAAGCAAAAATACTTTATCAATAAACTCGATAAAATGGGTACCTATTTTGTTAACGCAACTCTTCCTAAACCCCTGAATGAAATTCAATGAAACTTTCACAGTTTCTCATTTACATACATAATTTGCCATGATACTCATATGGGAGCATGGTGTGCCATTTTTAGTTCAGTGCTGACAGTACCTCTAATTTTAATAATTTTAATCCATCGACTTCATAAAATACATTGCAGAAAGACCCTTTTAAGTTATTTTCCTTTGAATATTATTGAAAGACTCTCTGATTGCTTTTCTACCATATTTTCATTTTAGTTACTTATATCAGCAAATAAAGGCAATGGAACTCTTGGATATATTGCCATAGACGATATCCAGATAAAAATCAATCGACAGGGTATTTAGATATTTTTAACACAAATACACTTTAGTAGCACATTTAGTTGGAACTGATTAGTTTCATTCTAATTCCTTTTGCAACAAGGAATAAATCTAAAGATAAAATGACGTCTTATTGATAACACCTTAATTAAATATTCTTCGTCTTTCAGGACTTTATTTTTCAAAGAGAAAAATGTCTATATATAATGAAACATTTACTTACGTTTATTAAATTGTCATCTTGTTTATTCCTTTATTTGCTTATATATATATCAACAGACTTGAACACATTACTTATTTTCATCAGTCATGAAGATTTTAGATATGACGTTAAAAAGATGACGTAAATTCAAAATTTATTTATATTCTTTAATTAAACTGAACCTAATGTCTTTCTTATTTAGATCTAAAATATAATTGGATGAATCAGAATGAGAGATGCAAAAACAGTTTGGGTGTTTATGCTATCAATCATCGACAATTACCAGACCCGTCCTGTCTATCCTTTGATTCTGACCGGTGGACAGGTATTATCAGACCTCAAATAAGAGGCACAGCGACAAATGGTGAGTAGTCATTTTTTTTTATACATCTAGTAAGATAGAGTGACGAATGCACTCAAGAAATATATAATCGCCTAATGAAAGTTTAAAAATATTATTTTTAGGGAAAAAAAGAAGTCAAATTTCTTGATCCTAAGTTTGACCCTTTGACAGAAATCCTTTGAATATAATCATCGCTATTTATTGAATAAACTGAATTTCAATACACAAAAATTGGTTATGAGAAAAATCAAGTACTTGCAAGGTGACTACAGATATCTGGTTAATCAAATGTGGCCTCCTTTATCATAACATAGTCATGAAAATAATTTTTTACCGTATCTAAATTTCATGAAATATTTTTTTAAACACTCAAAATAAGTATTTTTTCATAATAGCACAAAATTAATTCCAGAATTCCTCTTCTTTAAAAAAAAAAACTACACTACATTATACATGTATTCTGTAAAAATTCATTTTTTAATTAATAAAACAAAGTCAATATAATTATAATCATTAGGCTGGTTTACATTTGGTTGAACAATATATACCAAATGTTTTTTATTGTCTTGAGAAAATTTCAATCAGTAAGATGTCTCCATGGAACTAAGATGAAAACAGGAGTCAAAATCAGTCACTAAATATTTACCTAACGTACATTATGTCTCAAACAAATACATTGGAATACTGATTAATTCAAAATAGAAGAGATTCCTGGATATGTACAGCTTTTTATTATTTATATGTATACTAAAGGTCTGCTAAGCAACTTCCGAGTCCTAAGAAAAACACAACAGTGTGAATCTATAGTAAAATATTCGTCATTACATTTGCTAAGGTCTTTCCTTATATGGCAATAGAAATTAAATTGACATTCAATTTTTAATATTTACATTTCCAATAAATTTTCTCATGAACTACCATGGATGGGCATGAATATCCCCATTGTTACGTCATAATACCCTACTTGACGTCAAAATTATAGTGCAAACTGTTTTGCTTTAAAAATGACAGTTGAATGGCGTTATTTATCGCTAATCATCAGAAAAATAATGTAAATATAAGAAACGCAGTACAGTTAAGGCAACATTTTCTATAAAAAGGCACCAAAAACGAGACACTTAAAGTTCAACCGTCTTATTTTTTAGCATGAAACTCTATCTGAAATATCTTAATGCCTTTATGAAGAGTTTGTCCATCGCTTTTCACATCGGTATTTTTTGTCATCATGTGACCCTCTAAAGTCACGTGAGCTCCGATTTTAGGTCAAAATATGAAATGTCAAATTTAACCAAAAAGTGCAAGGGCAAGGCAAACAATATTTGAACTGCACAAGGTTTCATTGTGTCCCTTGGTAACTATCCTATCGAAAAACTGATGCTCATTCAGTCAGATTTCTGAGATATTTAAGTTAGTCATTGAAAACAAACACCAGTATTCAAAAATAGGGTATTTTTCATCATTTAATCGGAAATTTTAAATTGCCTAATGAATTACAAAGAAATGAGCATTACTTTTTAAAAACTATACAGTAAAATAAAGAATTTAAAATATAAACCTACCTCTTGGGTTGTCGCCTTGCCCTTGCACTATTTGATTAAAAATTGAAATCTTAACACATTCATTCTAAATATAGTTTTCAAACGCATCATTGACCCAGCATGGGAGATAACTCTGTGGTACTTAGTAGAGTTTGTGTACCTCGCAAATTTTAAATAAATACCTACGGACTGCGCTGGGCTTTATTTCACTAAATCAAATCGGTATGCATAAAAAATCTTTGACATTACTTTGTTTTGTATATCTTCGTTCTTTTATACGCTACACAAGACGTATTTGACACCTACCGCATTTCCTCCGTTCGCCTAAAATTTGCCGCAACATCCATCATGTAAATAAATTGAAAAATGCCCATGGTTAAAAATATTGAAAGATTCAGTCATTTGTAATAAAAATAAAACATAGACAGCCCCTATCAATGATTAAACATTTATTCTTCCTCAGTAGTCACACAGAAAAAATATCTCCAACAGAACTTGGTAGTTTTTTTTTTTTCATATGTGATTATTTTAGTTATCAAACCTTCAACTGTTTATGGATTCTAGACTACGTTAAAAGTTTTAAGAACAGAAGGAAGGGATTGGGGTGCTTACTCCTGTATTTAATAACCTGTTTTCCTTTCTACAGATCTACCCCCCCCCCCTCACCAGTTTGCCTCTGGCTCCTTTGATACCATATACTTACTGGCATGTTAAAAATAAATTATTAAACAGTGTTTACATCAGGTTTTACTTATTTGGGTATTGTAGCACAAATCATATCGGCGAAGGGGGGGGGGGAGGGGCTTTAGTCTCATATTTTTGAGTAATTATCAATCAATGCGCAAACAAGATAATCATAGTAAAAACTTTGTAATACAGAAACAGATACTCTGTTAAAGAACAGGTGAACACAATATACATGCTGCAATTTAGATCTTCTTGTACCCCAAAGCACAGACAGGCGCATACCAGAATGGAAGTGAAATGTACGCAGAGAACGGCTGGGGTCTGCTTTGAGACCCCCAGTGGGTCCAGATGAGGGCACAGGGGCGAAGTCCCTGGAAGCTCATGGTTTTTACCAAATATTTCATTCAAAATCATGCCATTTCGATTTTCTTTAGAAAATACAAGACATAGTAATATTGTTTTTAAAAAAAGTTAAATACTTCCGTGCAAATTTATTGTACATGTAGAGGCTGAATATTTTTTTAAAAGATATATTGGTATCATCTTTTGGCAACAAATATAATTAATAATTTCAATTTTTAACAAAAAAAAAATATTTCAAATCATATTCTAGTGGATCACAGCATTCAACTGTTGATATTTTCTCAAAGATCTTAAAATAAATTATCAATGTGTTGTAGAAGAATTACAAATTAATGAATATTTTATTTGGTTTTGGCAATGATTTAATAAAACATTACCATATTTTTTTTTATTTTTTTTTATAAAGACATGGTAATATAGAATTTGAATTTGAATCGAAACAGTATGGGATAAAATAATTTGACACACAAATATTTGCTGGATGGTATTGATATTTTTTCTCTTCTCACAAATCTCTCCCCCCCCCCACCCCCCATTTTTTTAAATTTGTAAACGATGTGTACGCACCTGCGTATTTGCCTATAAGCAGCTACGCGCCTGTCAGAATACATGCAAGTAAAGATACTCAAATCTTAACAGCCTTCAAACTTTAACACCATTGTACTGTTAAAAATTCAAAGTATTAGTTATCTAGAAAATTTATTTAATTAAAAACAGCCTTTCAAATTCAAAGACAAGCTGTGAAGGGATTTCTGAGCAGGTTCAAAATATTTCAAACAGTCCACAGTTCAAACAGTTCTTCTGGATGAAAGCAATTCTGAAAACAAAATGAAATACCATTATGGAAGGTTCATTGGTGTTTTAAAAAAGTGATACTCAAAACAATGCATTGAGTAACATGGAAAGCATATACATGACTCTACTGTTTTTATTATAAAAACATTTCAATAATCTTGCTAGGAATATGTATGGTTTAGAACTTATATGGAGCATACCTTTTTATTTTATTGGTGGAAACACTTGCTGCCTGAATGAATTGTTCAAATTGTTTGGGAGTACATGTAGCTACAACACAATATATATGTAATGAGTGAAAAACATAATGATTACTATTGTAGAATGAAATGACATTGCATTGTACAAAACAAACCATGCTATACTATATTTTCTGAAATTCATAAAATAAATGGAAACAAACTTTTGATACAAAACTTTTCTGGGAAATTGAAACCTTGCAAAAGTAGAATTGGTAGCTATACTTAATTTAAGGACATACGCAATGTAGTTTGAACTTTATTGTCTCTTTCCCTAGAGTTGAAGAGTTCCAATACTTAAAGGAACTGTGTACTACATTTATATGTCTATATATGCTGTTGTACACTTCTTCTAAAACAAGTTTGGATAAACAAAACATTTAGAATATATGTTTAGTAATTTTAGTGTATTTTTCTTTGAATTATACAAGAATTTTCATCAATTGATATCTTTTCAAAACCCCTGGTAATGCATGCTGATTTTTTGTTGAAGAACATCTGATGGCACTATAATCTTAAATTAAGAATATCTTGAAAAATTATCAGTAGGTAAGGTACGTTGCGTATGTCCTTAAGTAAAAAAAAATCAATATACTAGAGATAACATTTAATTCTTTCACCTATACAACATTTTGAAAAAAAATATTTAACACTGGCATACTATAAAATTAATGTGAAATGCTTTAGTGTGACCATACCCAGTGGAGAAATTGATGCATCTATTTTGATAGTTCTAGCTGATGTAAATGCTAGTTTTAACCAGTTCTGTGATAGCTACAATGACAAAAGAATTATACATATAAACAGTACATAAATACATGTATATACATATCAGACTGACTTAATGTACATGTAGTCAGACAAATGAAAATTCAAACATTTTATCTTCATTAATGTAGAAATTCTACAAATTTACAGCCTAGTGATATAGATAGTAAAAGTTCTATGATGAATTTAAAATATGAAGCACTGGTAAAAACTGAAATCTTAAAATTCACATATTTTTGATTGCCAGAGGTAAAAATTAAAATTTATAGGGTCTTATACTCTTGTATGTACAGTGCACATACATTGTACACTGTGCAGTTTGACTTCACAAATACATTGTGAGTGTGACTGCATCAAAATTATACTATTTGATATCATGACATGCTGTGCTTATATTATGTTACATGTTTGTACATGTATGCCAAAGGACAACATCATTGCATATTTAAAAGTGTGCAACTTTCATAATGTGTGTGTTTTTGTGTATGTGTGTGGGGGGGGGGGGGGGAGGGGGCACATAAGGCATTGCATTGCAGTTTGTGACGGACTGTAACAATACATCTTATTGTACATGTTCAAGGTTATTTTACATCGATATAAAGAATATTATGTCTACATGTTAATACCTATGCACATACACACCTTAATGAACAGAAAGGGACCTAGGGAGGTAGTGCGGATCGTCTCAGTTTTCCATGATTTCCCGAAATAACGTCATCATCTTCTCATCAAAAAGATAAACAAGGCCCAGGTCTCTTATTTTATCCCTATTCTCTTTAAAGATTGCCTGATTGTTGCATTTATCCACTGCATATCTCAGCTGCTGTCGCCACGTTTTTAGATGTAAACAACATTCCGTGTCACCGAGTGCAAGCGCTTGGCTGAAGCCGAATGCAGCCAAACGACACAATAAAAAGAGAATTATTTCGAAGACGTGTTGTTACTATATAAGAGAAAATCACTAATGTTTATTTATTTAAACCTGAAAATACAGACATTCATTACAAATTCTCGCAATCATCATTAAATAGCTTTTTTGAGCTCTATTTCCTCATATGGATCTATCAAGGCGGAGCAACTGTCATGACGTCAAACCTCATTATGACCTCATTACCATATTATCTTCATGTGTAGCCTTAACTGTACTGCGAATGAATTTAATTTTTGAAAATTCATGAGGTACATGAACTACAACGCTTCACGCCGGCATATTTATCATGAAGCGCTAACGCGCTTCATGGAATATGCCGGCGTGAAGCGTCATAGTTCATGTCCTCATGAATCTTCAAAAATTAAATTCATTTCCTAAATGACATGAAGTTGGTCACGTGATCAGGCTTTCTTGCGTATGGAAAGCAAACTTTAGACTGTGACGTCACATAACGTCATACATGATTATGTTGCATTTCCAAAACAAAGTCTAAATAGTGTATTTTTTCTTTGTAACACGAATATATATATATATATATATATATATATATATATATATATATATATATATATATATATATATATATATATATATATATACTACAGTCAACGCGGTTTCCGTATTTACCGCGAGTCCTCGCGGTGTGAAATTGATCGCGGTTTAACACAGGTAACTCAGGTAAAACCGCGTGTTGTCGCGGTACGGGTCCTCAACTAATCTACACCATCGCGGTTAGTGTTATCCGTCTCAGGTAAAAAAAATATTCTCTTCATAAACGCGAGTTACCTCCCCCGACGGGAAAAAAACACAACAGAACAAGAATGAATAGAAGTAAAAAAAAAAGTTAAAAGCCTTAGGATAAATCCAGTCTTAGCAGTTATTTAGGTCTCCTTTTTATATTTGATTAATTTTTCTTTTTATTTCACGCTTCTTTCAAAAATAAAAAAAAGAAAGAAAGAAAGAATGCATGATATGGAGACAACTATATATGTATATTGTGTGTTCATTTATTGTTCTTAAATTATCCATAATTATACATATGCATTAATTTTGTAGATCACAGTTATTGATCATCCGATAACTCAATGATTTAATTGTCAATTGAAAACAACCTTTCCTTCATTTAACCATTTTAAATAAGTAAATAGTCGCAATATTAAAAAAAAAGGGCGCTCAGAATAAAATCTTCAAAGGAATAGATATTTTTTTTTCTGTATTCCTTATTCATAATTCAAGTTAATTTCCTTGAAAATTTTAAACTTGAGAAAGTACGTATGAAAGTACAACATGTATACTAGACTCTTTTTCATGACTTCTAATCTAGTGCGCTTTTACGGTATTTATCCAGGTATTACAAACTATGATTCGGGTGTAAAATATTATTTTCAAAATATATTCTGTCTATAAATATTATCATTCAAACTTTAATTTACTTTAGATACATGTTTATTCGTAAATAGCAAGCTTCACCCTATTTTGATATAAAATTTTAATTAATTTTCGGTCCATAATCAACTGATAATTCAAAATTTCAATTTACTGATTCAAAGTTAGTTTAAGTTTTCAATCGTGGGTTGTTTTCTAGTGACGGTTACCCTAGTGACTGACTTCCCATGCTCTGGGCATCACACATTATCTTTATGCATGTGATACCATGGATACCCCTCACTGAATTTACGTTTTGTTTTATTATTATTTATTTACCTTCAATTACAGGCAAAAAACGTTATTAATAACTTAGAGGATGTCACAGCATGTAGAAATATACAACATATTCGATTTTGAAATTTAATTTACACTGATAAAATACAATCGGAACAGAAGGTTGTATGTGTCCCCGGGCTAGATTCGAGTTTGTAGTACGCACAGTCAGAACCTTGGCACTGACACAGACAGGAAGTGTTATGTAATAGATATACACATACGTCTGCACAACAATAGATTAGATTTCTTGAAGCTGTGATTTACCTGTATTGTATACCTGGACATGCAAAATTTTGCATTCATATTGAATAGGAGTCTGTTTCGTTAAACTTGAAATACATCGCAAACTATAAAATAATTTGTCCATTCTATAAGTAGCAAATTATTTTATACAAAATTTTCCATTGATTCAATACAACATTAAATTCTCAGCAACTATTAGAAAAATGAAATTTCATTCAGAATTCCTCCAGACTTTGAACAAACAGCAAGGGTTATACATTAATATGATATAGAAAAATAGTTTTAATAGTATCTCATATTCACATATCGACGACGATAGGAGAAGGGGGCTGGTTTTAGTCAGACTGTTCATATTTTATTGACTATTTTCTAAAGATATGCTATGTACATTTTGGGCATTCATGAAGTGTGTTAATTGATTAAATAAATATGTACAATACAGTGTAAAAACATACATACAGGCAAGTTTTCTGAAATGTCCCTCGCCGTTTATTTTAGATTTTTATTCTTACCCCCCCCCCCCCACACACACACACACTTTGTTGCCGTGCAAACTAATCGTCATGTTTCTCTACCCGAAATTAAAGTGTATAATCTAACACCCACTCCCTTAAATGATTTAAAGGTTTCAGTTTCGTGAAACTTTTCTCTTTTGGTTTCAATAATTACTCTGGCAGTCCCAAGTTTTTCAAGATCGCCGACCAATAAAAAAAAAAGACTTTTATTATTTCTTTTTAATTCTTTATACAAGTATAACGATATTTTTGTGATTTCAGGACTGCGTTTGATCAGCTGATATAACCTATATGTATGATGGGTGATCAAGGTGTCAAGACCGGCTACTGAAATATGGTCACGTTATACATACAGTTTTTACAGCTTGAAAACACGGTTATCGTAAAAGGGCTTGATCATCTCGTGAATTTTCCGAGAACCCATAGTCTTATAGTGGGCGACCGATAGGATAAGCTATACGCCCCACTGCACACGCTGTGATGGTGTAATACATGTACACGTGTTTGGTCAGTTTCAACTTATTTAGTTAATGACTTCTCTGCTTAATTATCAGCTGAGAACGCAACCATTTAATTTTTTTAGCTTTATAAAAATAACTATTGTCGCCTTCTTTTAGAATATTTGAATATGATGAACAGAGCTGTTTTTTTTTTCATTCAGGCCCATAATTCTAACAAATTAGGTGGTGATCAATATCGTTAATTCAAATATTCGGGATTATTGTAAATAATATTTGAACATGTTGGAAGAGGTAATTTGGCGTGAAAATATGTGTTTTCATTTAATTTTTTTCAGTGATATACACATTGTAATTTTCAATTCGGAAAAAAAAAACAATTGCAGTAATACTGTATGAAAAAACTGTTATGATGTAAAAAGGGCGCAATATAAATCGAATCGATATTTACTACAATAAAAAAATTTACATATGTATGTTGATTTATAGATCTCCTCAATATAATTCAGGTTACTTATTAGAAACTACAACAATGATAATATTTTAATAGAATAAATGCCAAGTATCATTCAAATACATGTATCACCCTTTAGACTGAAAAAAAAAAAAAATTATAAATTATTTCTAGAATTTTCACATGTTTAAGCCAAATTTAAAAAAAAAAAATCAATCTTATATATTCACAATCAAATATCCTTACTTTGACAGTAAGCAGAAGGATTATCGACTTCACATTGAGTAAAATACGGTAGAGCACACCGTCACGGTAATCTCGTGTCCCCGCGATCACCGCGATGATAAAACCGCGACGGTGTATCGTGGAAAGAATTAAAACACCATCGCGGGGTCGCGGGAAAATACGGGATCCGCGTTGACCGTAGTATATATATATGGCGTTATAGGATTTGATCAAGTGACCAACTGCATGTCATATCCCATTGAAACTCTGAAAATAATATCTTATTTCTTACATAAAAGTTCATCTTTTTCTAGTGTTGGATGAAAATCCAGCCAAAGTGCAGGTATACAGGAACCTTGGCTTGAATTATAAATATATCTGGGAGTCGTTCAACCCAACTTTAACCAGACCGTTTGTTTGTGAAAGAAGTAAGTACCGCAATGAATTTCATCCATAAATCAAAATCCTAGTACGTTTTCATGCACACAATTGTTCTTCCCTTGTGAAATTAATCATGTTAATCTTAAAATATTTCATATCTTATATCATTATAACAAAATACAGAATATAAGACATAACACAATCATCGAATAATTTATGGACATGAAATTGTATACTTGGCTGATTCAGATCTGTTTTTTTTCCTTTTCATTTTTTCCAGATTTAAGTACATTAAAGGATTTTTGTATTGTGTTGGACGAGAAGGAATCGGTATCTATCATTAGTCCTATGATTACAACATCTTCCAGTGGTTAGTGAAAAAAATATAAAAAATATATAAAAATATATAAGAAATATGTCTATTATTCTTGGTATAAGGTCGTTATCGATAATGATAGCTCTTATGAAAGAATCATTAAAGATAGTCATGTCGGTTTTCATGTTCATGCCCACTCCACCCCCATCCTCCTCCAAATAAGGTCTTACTCCTTATATGTACATTGTTATCTCGCTATAACATATATCTGGGTCAAACTGACGAAATTCATTGAAACATTAGTTTTTATCGCCCTACTCCTCATTGGCCTCTTTCTGTTTACCAAATAAAGATGTTAACCACATCCTCTCACGTAAAGACAGAAAAAAATAGGTGATGTGATGCAGTAATTAAGATATAATCCTGGATCTATACGAGCATTGTCAAATGTAAATATGTGCAACTTTTAATATAACTTCTATTTGAACCATGCTTAGTTATTTATTTTATTTGTAGATACAATAGTGGGAGTGGTTGTCGCCTGTGCTTCAATTATTTTTCTTTGCATCATTATTTTTGTGATTTACAATAAACGGTATTTATGTTCTTTTTATTTTAAAAATAAAGCATTGACTTAATAATGGGTAACTATTACTGTGAAAGAAGATTCAATCGTTTGTTGAAATAAAGGAATTGGACATATGGAAAATAAAATGGTGTTGATATAAGGATGTAGACTGTAAAAGATCTCATACCTTTACCTGATACTATGACTATTTAATGTATTTAGGAAGAAAGCGACCAAAAACAGAAAGCAACATGATATTTCTCCAATCACGTCGGAAAATGCCGCATATCTGAAAGACAGCAAAAAGATTCTTATCCAAAGCAAACATCCAACAGAAAACAACTTAATACCAATGGAAGAAAATAAGCAAAAGACGCATCAAAGAAAGGAAAACGGTAATCTTGATCACAAGATAGAAGATTCTGCTAAAAGTACGTATGACTTATTCTTAGAAAATAACAAGTTTAGTAAAGAACCTGAAGAAGATTATGACCACCTCCGTCATGCTAACAATAGTATGAAGTCAAAAAGGGATGACCTTTACAGTCACATGACAGGAAACAAATATGAGTCACAAAAGATGATTACTGATGACACTTACGCCCACGCAGTCGAAATGGAGAATGAATATGGTGCACCGCAGATAACTTGTCACGATGATAATGAAACATATGACCATGCGCATGCGCTGGATATCGACCCAGGTGGGGAGTACAATGTGCTGCATCAAGATACTCGCGATGATGAATCTTTATATAATCATGCATAAACCTGTGACGTATTATTCGTTAATATGTACGTTTGTAGCCTTCGTCTTTGCAAGGATTACGGGTTTGAACACGTGAACGATGCACATCAGATCGTAAATAAGCTTTTTATTTCTTATTTCTTTTTTAGTTAATTAAAAAAAATATTACACCTGTTTTTGGTTAACAATTCATGAAGGACTGATAAGCAAGAAATCAAGAAATTGACACTTAAACTTGAAGGAGTTAGTCACAGTGTTACCATTTTTGAAACGTAAATCAACACAGTATAGATCTGTAGATCTTTAAAATTTTCAATTGCAAGTAGTCTCAGATTATTTCCTATTTAGCTTGTAACACGAGCTTTGATTGGTTTGATTTGTCCGCGCCAAAGCCTCTAAAATTTGGAGCCCGCTTTTTTAAGCTAACGCACCACCTAAATAAATTAACAATTTTCTTTTCAGAACTTGTTTATGATGTTTTTGATATATAATTATGTTACTTTAATAAAAAATGAGACATTTAAATGCTTTAACTGATAAATAACAACAATGTTTACTGAAGCGTAACCACTTCATAGAAAAAATTAAAATCATATCCATACTTTTTTGGTGGAAAAAATTTCTAATTTTTTCTTTGTGGCTGTGTTCTTTATGCTTGTACTAATTAAAAACTCAGAAAAAAAGTTACACCGTATGCGGCGTTTGACTCTAGAAGAGCGTGCTAAGGTAGTCAGTATGGTATCTACAGGGGGTTCCTTTGAAGAAATTTGTGAAAAATTAAAAGAATTAAATGATTATGAATTTCTCTGGTGAACAATTGTTGAAAATGAATTAACGATCATAAAAATGTTTACAATACATATCGACGGCATTAAGTGAGCACCACACAATGATTTCAAGATTATTCCACAAAATTGGGGCAACCGGAAGTTGGGTGGATTTGGTAGGGTCACCAAGAGACTGGATGACTACTAAGCGATATGGTAGTCAATCAGGGTATATCATTTGATTTTTAAGTGGGAGACTGCTCCTGTCGCAACGTCACGGACCACCATCGGTAATCACCAACTTCATATCTTGGCAAAGACGGTGCGCAGTGCACGTCTGGAAATTGGTTTTCGGACAAGAAGGTCCTTTAAGGGTCTTGACATGACACCAAGACATTTAACAATCCAACTGTTTTGGAAAAGATGGCATATTTTATATACTAATACCAATCAGGAAAATGATAAATTCACAAATAAGAATAATAAGTGGTGCGTTAGCAATTTTGTCTAGTGTATTGTTAATTGATAATTCATCGTCGATGTATCTAAATGTCAAGTTAAAGGCCATAGGAAGTGTTTTCTTCTCAAGTAGAAGTTTTTTAAAATAGATTCTGCTTCACAGAAAAAAATAAATTAAAAAAGCAGGTCAGCTAATAAAGGAGCACAATAAGTGTCCATCCGAATTCCAACAGTTTGTTGGAAGACCTGGTCTCCAAAGATTACTTAAATGTTGTCACAGAGGAACTCCAGCTTCCTTTAAATAACAACTTCAGAGAACTTGTGTGTAGAATCAAAGTAATCTTTAACAAAGTAACTCTGCTGATGACTACTAACAAAAAAGAAAAATTTCCGATCTCCATTTTTATGGAAGTAGCAGCCCAGTTTTTGATTTATCGTGAGAAATGGTCGTATAAAGTGTAGAAAAGTCGTACGTTTTGATGTGACAGACTTTTGAAAAGTTTGTCGATTTTTAATTTTCTACAAGTTCTTGGGAGTTTTTGAGAATTCACATCTGATTTACACTTCATCTAGAATAGATACTGAAATGTGATTTTGAAGAATTTATCTTTGGAAAGTAAACTGTGAGCATAAGTTGGATTTCCAGAAGTAGAATTAAAACCACATTCTTCTAAAATATAATAATAATAATGAGCCTCTTGCAAACAAAGACGATATTGTAACAAGCCTTGACGGCTGGAACCATTACATATTGTACATGTAGAAACAGGACCATGGTATTCGAATTTTTAGTGTATAGCATATGGATTATCAAAATATATGACAAATTATGAAAAAAAAACCTTACCCGCCCTTACCTTATCCGTCCCCATTGTCATTCTCATCAGTGCAAAAAGGGCACATTGAAAAACATGCAATTTTTGGATGATATTTTTTAGAAGTTTTTACAAATATATGAGTATTAAAGGTAAGTTTTAACTGCAAACTAATTTTCTATTATCTAAAAGTTGAGACCTAACAAACATGTCCCCCGTGATGTGTTTACTTTCAACACAATTTACGTATCGAAAAATGTTCAATGTTTATGCCAAGCTAAAGTCTTACAAACGTCACAATATTTGCCCTTATTTTTGTGTGTCATTTACACTTTAAAATTTTAAGTTATAAGTTCGAACATCCAACCTTGAGCTATGTGTTTTTCAGTGACGCTGTGCCGTTTTTCGATATTTCTGTTTTGTTTTTATTGTATAAAGTTTAATCTATAAAGATCCTAGCATGATGTCGGATCGGGGGGTCGGGGGGGGGGGAGCCCTGGATTAACCAAATACAAATCCCTTATTAGCTCACCTGAGCCGAAGGCTCAAGTGAGCTTTTCTGATCAGAATTTGTCCGTTGTCTGTCGGCGTCGTCGTCGGCGTCGTTGTTGTCGTAAACTTTTCACATTTTCATCTTCTTCTCCAGAACTACTGGGCCAATTTCAATCAAACTTGGCACAAAGTATCCTTGGGTGAAGGGGATTCAAGTTTATTCAAATGAAGGGCCACGCCCTCCTCCAAGGGGAGAAAATTACGAAATAGCAAAAAATTAATGGCATTATTGAAAAATCTTCTTCTCAAGAACCAATGGGCCAGGAAAGATGAAACTCATGTGAAATTATTGTCAGGTAGTGTAGATTCAAATTTGTTCAAATCATGACCCCCGGGGGTAGGGTGGGGCCACAATGGACGATCAAAGTTTTACATAGGTGTATATAGGAAAAATCTTCAAAAATCTTCTTCTCAAGAACAGCAAAGCAATGATTGGTACATTGTAATATTTATGTGGAAGCATCCTCAGGTGGTGTGTGTTCAACTTTGTTCAGATCATGACCCCCGGGGGTAGGGTGGGGCCACAATGGACAATGAAATTTTAACATAGGACTATATAGGAAAAATCTTCAAAAGTCTTCTTCTCAAGAACAGCAAAGTCATGATTGGTCATATTTATGTGGAAGCATCCTCAGGTGGTGTAGATTCAAGTTTGTTCAAATCATGACCCCTGGTGGTAGGGTGGGGCCACAATGGACGATCAAAGTTTTACATAGGAATATATAGGAAAAATCTTCAAAAATCTTCTTCTCAAGAACAGCAAAGCTATGATTGGTCATATTTATATGGAAGCATCCTCAGGTGGTGTAGATTCAAGTTTGTTCAAATCATGACCCCCGGGGTAGAGTGGGGCCAAAATGGACGATCAAAGTGTAATATAGGTGTACATAGGAAAAATCTTCAGAAATCTTCTTCTCAAGAACAGCAAAGCTATGATTGGTCATATTTATGTGGAAGCATCCTCTGGTGGTGTAGATTCAAGTTTGTTCAAACATGACCCCAGGGGGTAGTGTGGGGCCACAATGAACGATCAAAGTTTTACATAGGTGTACATAGGAAATATCTTCAAAAATCTTCTTCTCAAGAACAGCAAAGCTATGATTGGTTATATTTATGTGGAAGCATCCTCAGATTGTGTAGATTCAAGTTTGTTCAAATCATGGCCCCCGTGGGTAGGGTGGGGCCACATTGAACGATCAAAGTTTTACATAGGAATATATAGGAAAAATCTTTAAAAATCTTCTCAAGAACAGCAAAGCCACGATTTGCCATATTTATACGGAAGCATCCTCAGATAGTGTAGATTCAAGTTTGTTCAAATCATGACCTCCAGGGGTAGGGTGGGGCCACAATGAAAGTTCAAACTTGTAGAGAAAAAAATCACAGTTAGTCAAAAAATTATGTAAGCATCCTTAGTTAGTGTAGATTCAAGTTTGTTCAAATCATGACCCCCCCCCCCCCCCCCCCCCACACACACACACTCACTTTTAGGGGTAGGTAAGGACCACTTATGCATTTAAGCTTTTCAATACTAAACTGATTTTTCCTTTTTTCCTAGCCCTAGTGCTCAGGTGAGCGATGTGGCCCCTGGGCCTCTTGTTTGTATGCTATATTTATTTTGGAAACTTTTAAAACATACATACACAACGAAAGGTAAACAAAAAGAACAATTATTTCTCTTTGTTTACAATCCATATATGAAATATTTTCGAATTTCTTTTCATCTTTTCAAAAATCTCTTGATCCCTTTTGGATCCTAAAAATTGTTTAGAAGAAATTAGGTTAAAAAGGAGAAATATAGATAACAGTACTGTCATTATTTTCTTGATATTACATATTTCACACAAAATGAAATATATGGAGGTAACGAACAGTATTCAAGCTCAAAAGTCCATTAAACAATACAAATTTTGGAGCAGAGCAAACATGGACCTCTAAAACATCAGATGTAGGATCAGGTGACATGGAGGAGTGAGCCTCCCCTGCCGACCGGTCAAACCCGCCGTGTGCTCCTTGTTATGATCGGGAAATAACGGAAATAGCCGTCGACAATTCAGTGTGTAAATAATTATAATTATAATGGCCTAACAATTATGAAAAACGTCATTCAGTATTTGACTTAATGATAAATTGTATTTGCTGACAAGGTCATTGTGCCGACCATAGAACAAATGAAATGACGACTTTAAACGAGACTGCTGATATTCTTGTTTCATCAACTTGTTTGTCAATAACTTACCTTTTTTAGAAATTGTTTATACGTAGAGCATGCTCTTGCGTATCGTATCAACTGAGAGATATAAACCTCGTATGCAGGTGATGAAGGTATATTGCTGCACAAGTAAGGGAAGTTGACGATTGAAAAGTTAAAGTCATCACGTTTATCATAAAGATTGGTTGTTAGATTACCATTAACGTCCTTTTCTAG